GATAGGGACTAAGCTGGTCCCACCCTGCAAGTAAAGGGAAGAAATTTCTTGAACACCATAAAGCTGCGGGAGTTGCGACCAGGATAAATGGTGGTTTCTGAGCCTGGCCGCAAACTTGGCTATCTCAACTCAAAACTAATGTTAAGGTGGGATGGTCCCTTTAATTCAAGCTGATAAATGAATAGGAACAGATTTAAAACGATATGAGAACTTGATCTTTTTAGCCAGAAAATTATAAAATGATAAAAGTTAAGAAAAAATATAACATGATTTGGTTTCAAATTAAAATTGTATGACGTCATTAACGCGGACAAATGTTTCTCGAGCTTGCATAGATAAGAGTATTTGTAAGTTATTAGCAATTTCTGTCGACAATCATATTTGCTGCCATATCCCAAACGTAAAGGAAAAGCAAAAAATCGTAGCGGCGCTACCATAGCTAAAAAAACGCTACCATAACGCAAATCAACTGGAAAGTGACGTTTTATTTAACTTTGTTATTTATAATTAACGCAAACGTCCATTTTTAGGCTCGGTGTTGTATTTTTCTGCTAAATTTAATAAAAATTGGTTTATTTATTTTGAGTTTAATTAGTTATGACAAGCTAAAGCTAAGGTTAAGATAACTGACGTCATGTGTTTATACCTTTAAAAAGTGAACCACACTACATTATTGGATTATGCCCTAAACCTTGTCTGTTAAATTCTCAAGGCCACAAGGCAACAGGGCATGAACAAAATGTTTTTCTTTGCATTTTGAGATTCTAATTAGCCTTACATTTGGCTTCATATTTGTCATATATTAAAGGCTTCATATTTGCATTCTTATTTAGAAATCAATACTGTGCTGGCTTGCAGCTGGCACGTAGTTAGGTACATATTGATGTGTTGCTGACATTTTTATTTACATTATAGGTATGTAAGGTGTGTTATGTGGTTTCAATAATAATAGCAACATGTTTTTCTTTATTTTTATTTCATACATAAATAAAATGGTTAATGTTAGCTTTTTTAAAATATCTACATGTATATAGTTCACTAGTTGTCAGGAATTACATATGCAGTATGCACCCATGAATGTATTTCACTACATAGTAAAGCAAGCGTCACACTTCTTTTTGCAACAAAGGAGAGGCGCTGTAGGTTAGGTTTTAGATTTTAGGTTTTAGGTGGTAGGTTTTAGGTTGTAGGCTGTGTTAGGTTATGCCAGGTTTGATTAGGTTTGGTTTGGTTTGGGTTGATTAGAAAGCATCTCTGGGTACAGCGCCTCTCCATGGTTGCAGAAATAAGTGTGACGCCTGCTTTACGACTACCTGTATTTCTTGGGTTTTGCACAAACATTTTATGTTGAATAATTTGATGAGTCTGTCCAATGAGTTGAGTCAGAATTGAGTCATGAGTCGATTCAAATTATTTAACAGAACCCTTGAGTCATGAGTTGAATCGAATCGTTAAACTGAAAATATGCTTGAATCATGAGTCGAATTGATTCATATATTTCTTGTCATGTTTGAGTCAAGAGTTGAATCGAATCATTTCAATTAAAGTTTTTGGAATCATGAGTCGAGTCGATTCAGTTTTAGGAAACTCTCTTCTGAACCGACTCACCAAAAATTTGAGTCGTATACAACCCTGAACGCTGCACCCCTGCAAGCTTTTAAGGAGAGGGCGGGTAGGGGGCTGTCCGTCACCCATCCTGCCGTGCAAAAGTCGCCCCTGAACTTTTGTCCGACGGCAGCTCGGTCAGGGGTCGTGCCTGCCCCCCCCCCCGTGGCCTAGTTTGAGTCCATCAGTCACCACTGCCAAGCTCTGACGTGTGCTGCGTTATTCCTATTCACATTTCTACCTCTGATTTCTGTAATCGTGGCAGTGTTTACAGCCGGCCGCTGGCGTTGCGTAGCTGCGTTCTAGTGCCCCAGTGGAATGGGCGGTACTGTGTTACGTGACTGAGACCAATTAAACCACACGGCGGGGGGGGGGGGGGTAGTACAGGCGGGGGACACCCTGGTGACTCGGCGGGGACTGACACACAGCGTGTCAGAAATGACACATGACTCAGGGTATGGTGCTTTTAACGCAAATGACACCGTCAAGTCTATGGAGCGGGAGGCAGGCGTATAACGCGGTCATCGGTCAACCCTGGCGACACAGTGCGACAGCAGCGCCCGCCCGGGGTTAAATGTCAGTGGCTGGGGCGGTGTGGCAGGGTAGGGGAATAAGGGGAGTGGAGGGGCGCAAGCTCGTTCTCGAATGTCGGAGAACTATGTAGTGCACAAGTTACAAGCACCCGTACTTTATGAAATGCATTTGTTAGAGGTTTTGTTGAACTTGCTTTCCTGTTGCAAGGCCAAGTAATGCTTGTACCGACTAATGGCAGTTGTTGTCCAATCAGACTTCTGTACTGCTAGTAGCTGAAGCAAACTCTAGTATTGATGCCAGGAACCCATTTACCTTACGAGATAAGTTTTGTCGCATTCAGAATGCAGTTTGCTATTGGCCGAGCACTACACAAAGAAACTTTTGTTTTATATGGTTTGGACTTTTTATAAGAAAACAATGTAATCAAAATCATTCCAGTCTTATTGACCCTCTGCTTGCCCTGGGTTTTACAATTCTGAGCCGTAGAAGCAAACCTTCAGTGGGGATTTATTGCAATGCCACGACATGTCGCCATGCTCGGGCGCAGGCAATGGTGATTTGACGACCTGTATATGCATAATGTATGTCTCCTTTTCACGAACTGAGTTATGGATTACATAAACCTCTGAGCTGACTGTTGGAAGTATTTTATCTTTACATCAATAATTATATAAAGATAAAATACTGTCGATTATAAAATAATCGATTTTCATTCATTTGTATTTACTTTGTCCATGTTAAAATAATTAATGGGGCATTCCACGATAGATCGTACCACTTTTTTCCAATTTGACACCCTCATCTCTCGGATTTTGACGAGAATCGGTCTCAGGGGTAATCAGGCGCTCTGAATCCACCTGTAACAATTTCAGGCTTATCAGATAAGTATTTTTGAGTTATGGTGTATAACATTTTTTGGATCTTGCTTTGCAGCGCTAAGTTTGGCGAGCTGTAACTCGAAGACGGATTATTCGAATGCCAAATGTTATATAGCATTGAACTTGCAATGAAACAGAGATTAATATGTATTTTTGAAATTTTGAAAAATACGCGATTTTTGATATATGACACATCGAGTTTTCCTTCATTTGTATTTTTTGGACTTTGGGACCAATTTTTTTTGAATTTTTATTTCCTTTAAAAAATATTTGGCTCATTGTTAAGAAGCATGCAAAAATTAGGAAGGTGTTCTTTCTATAAATGTATTTATTTTGCGTCACGATAACGGTCTCGAATAGTGATTTCGGGAGGGGAGCTTACAAATGGCGTGGTAAAGCTGCCTAGTGACATCACGGGTTACTGATAACTATTTCAATTGAGGTCCGAGTCATCTGAAAAAAATGAAAAGAGGGTTCATCCAACCCTCTTTCCTATAAGCGCGGGAGTGAAAAAGGCTGTTTGGTTCTGTCATTGTTTTGGACACCAATGACCATAGCTGTCCGAGATAAGAGTTACAGGACGCATATATGGTGTCCTCCAGAGGTCTCACAACTTGTATATCTGGGAATCTTTAAAGGTCACATAAGGTCAGGTCGGTCACGTGAAATCACTGTTATAAGTCAATGGGGAAATATAAAAACTGTTATTTTGGCGCCAAGAATGATCTAAAACTATCTCCCGTACATGGTGTCGTGATTTCATGCACTCCTTGCAAAGTCCATGGCTTCACTTTTGCATTGCTAGCCTTGCGTGACGTCATTTATGACGTCACTAGGGTCGTACGAGTTTTTCGTCAATAACTCCCGATCAAATTGAGCTAGAGAGTCGGGAAAGCCACCAATAGACCCGGAAAGACCTTCCGAATCGAATGATATGTCATATGACATCCTTTGCCCAGCTTCGTGACCTGAGGGGCTCTGACCTAACCTTGACCCGAGGTCAACTACTTAAGTTGACCTCACCCAAACAAAAAGCATATCATTCGACGCACCTGAGCTAGGCGAACACAATGATGCCAAAATCGTGGCTCTGCGGCCATTTTTGCGAAGTTATTTACTAAAAACCGAACCCGTAACCTCAGTCACTTGACCTGACCTCAGACGCTACCGGTTAACCTGCGACCTTAAAATCGGGTACCAATCGCTGCGACTTGTAACGGCACACACGCTCGTTTTTCCGCGAGGCTCTAGCTCTATTAGAAGCGAAACGGCGTGCTGGGGTCGTATTAACCCCCTCGAAACCCATTTTGTTTGCGGGAAAATGAGGAACTTATAGAAAGAACACCTTTCTAATTTTTTGCATGTCGATTTGCAATGACATGAAGTTTGTTTTGAAAAAAATAAAAATGTGAAAAATTTTGGTCCCAAAAGTCATTAGAGGCAAATGAAAAAAAATATTAATAATTTTGTTGAACCAATAAAATTTTTCTTCGGAATTTTTAAAAAGTAATATTTATCATTGATTCATCGCAAGCTTAGTGCTGTTCACCGTTTGTTGGTTGCTTAACCCGTTCTTGAGTTATAGGCCATCAAACTCACCGTTATAAACCGAAGTTAAAAAAATGTAATGCAATATAACTCAAAAAGTTTTGATCTGAGAATTCTGATATTTTGCCAGGCGTCTTTGGGGCCTATGATTACCCCTAGAACCGATTTTCATTAAAATCTGAGAGATGAGGGTGACGGGCCTGGTACGATCTATCGTGGAATGCCCCTAATCACGATAAAGGGACACCCCGTTTTTGCCACACTTAGATCTTGAGCCTGTCAGGCTATCTCTGGGCTAATGTGCGATTAATTAATGCCTACTATTTTCACCCTGACTTTCCATTCCGAAGCCCCCAGATATCGCATGATGCCTGGAGGTCTATACGCGATGAGCAGGGACTATTTCACCATAACTTTTCCTCTTACCACCTCCAGGTCTCCCGTGATGTCTGGAGGTCTCTACGCCATTAGCAGGGAATATTTCTGGCACCTGGGAGGCTACGACACTGGAATGGACGTCTACGGCGGAGAAAACCTCGAACTCTCGTTCAGGGTGAGTTAACTCCGCGGCTGGGCAGGGTGCTTCCGTTAACAGGAGATTATGCTGTTTCACCGTCTACCAATGCAATGGGCGCTTATATGACGGGAATAAGCAATAAGCATGCATTTGACAGGCTACCCCGTTGATGGATTTTAGTGTGCACCGTGCACGTCTTGTATTCACTGCTGTCACAGGCGATCTGTATGCACAAATGTAATGGCAGCCCAGCTGTAGCCAGGCTAGGGAGAATAAGGTATAGAAAGGGCTTGTGTTCTGGAATTGAACTAGGTACTTTTCTTAATTGATCTACGGTAATGTAACAACAACTTTTTTTTGTCTGCTTTCCTATTTTCACGTCCACTGTCCAGTCCCCCATCATGTATTTGAATTATCGCAGTACTGCGCTTGATCATCTAGGGGCTCAGATTTGGTTGAGTCACCTCATCAGAGGTAGACCACCGTGAGATTAATCAGCTGATCATCTCCTGATTTCCTCATCGCCCTGTCGAAGGTCAAAAGTAACCTCTACTAGATGATAAAGTTTTGGAAGGGCTGATTTCACCTATATCATTTTTCTGATAAACTTATCATGTTAGTTTCAGGCTGTGATCTTGTCTGATATCAATAATTATCGTCATTCCTTTGCCCGCTTCCTCTCAACTGACCCGTGACGCCATCTCCCATCCGGCTCTTGCAATGTTGTTCCGGAAAGATGGCGCCGCTGTGTGCCTCAGGCGATTTTTCTGGAAAATTATCTGCCGTAGTATGTACCGCCATCTACCGGTAGTTTGGAATACCGGTGCTGTGTAACCTGCCGTCAGAGTTTGCTACGGATTGTGCTGCCACCTGCCGGTAGGAACGTATGCAGGTGGCGCTACCATCCACTTTCGGGCCACACGGCCACATGCTAGTGAAGTGAAGTCCATGCCTTCAGTGGTTTTGCCTTCTGCAGCACCAAACAACCAGCTCTGAGCTCAGTATCGTGACTCATTTATGTGTATCGCTAATTGCTTCTCCCGGCCTGCACATGCGAGCCGTGTGTTACTGTGGGCTGTGCATGGATAACGGGCTATGCCTGTGCGACGTGCTTTCTAGCACGTGTGAAGTATCTGATGACATTACCGCTTGCCCCCAGACGTGGCAGTGCGGCGGCGTGGTGGAGACTCTGCCCTGCTCCCGGGTCGGCCACATATTCCGCGACTTCCATCCGTACTCGTTCCCGTTCAGCGGTAACCCTCTGGCGGCCAACATGGCCCGTATCGCCGCGGTTTGGATGGACGAGTATAGCCGCTACTTCTACCTGCACTACCGACATACAGAGGTTGGTGACGGTGGCTTGTGTATGTGTGTAGGGGGGGAGGGGGTAGCGTAATTGGTGTCGGGAGTTGATAAAGGAACACACAGTGAAAACGTGATGCTTAAATCCAACTGAACAATGTTATTCTAACCGCTAACTGAATCGGCAGCCCTTGTAGCTGGTTAACTGCTGGGAAACATGGGTATCTTTTGTAACCAATGTAATATTACGAGCTTTTTTCAAGTTTAGATCTGTAGTCTCGACGCCTCTTCCATTCGCGACTTATCGTCAATATGCTAACGCTGCCGCCCTGCGCCGTCAGATGCCCGAGGCCGGTGACGTCACGGCCCGTCGGGAGCTCCGGGAGCAGCTGCAGTGTCACTCCTTCCGCTGGTACCTGGATAACGTCTACCCCAACAAGATGCGGCTGGATGAGGACGTACTGGCGAGCGGCCAGGTGCGCTCGGCCCTGCGGCCGGACCTCTGTATCGACACGCTGGTGATCGACCGACAGATCTTCCTCGGGCTGAACTCGTGCACCCAGCCGGTCGTCTCGGGACAGGTGAGCCCCGGCCGGTGGTAATGGGATAGGTATGATGCCGGCGCCAGTGGTGGCACCAAGGGGATGTCGGCAGGTGGTAAGGCATATGATATCCTCCGTTTGATATGTGTGGACTGAAGTTATCGCGTTGAATGAAGGTAAGCTTGTTGTAGAATGCATCTCCAACAGGTATGCTTCAATAAGTTCATAAAAATTGGCGGCCTTTCCTATAACTGAGAACCGAAAGGGGACCCTATCAGAGCGATTTCTATTCCATCATAAGGTGCATGATGATTTGCTAATGTCAGTTGTTTAAATCTTCCTATTATAGCCAGCCAATCACAATCGGGGCTTTATTTTAGCTCCAATCCCCCAGTACCTGGGGATTGGACTTGGAGTAAGAATAAGTCTGTTGTTGCCCTAGTACCTGACACTTAACTGTTGTTTCCCCAGTACTTGACACTAGCTCTGTCGTTGGCCCCATCACCTGACGTTCAATGATTACTATTTCCCCAGTACCTGACTCTCAGTAAGCGGGGCGAGCTGCGTCGCGAGGACAACTGCGCCTATGCCGGCGGCGCCGGGCCCCACGCCGGCACCGTGATGGCTCCGATGGCCCCGTGTACGATCAAAGGGTCGGAGCAGCAGCAGTGGATCTACGACGGGCAGGTCAGTGCTGGGTCGGTCTGCTTGGGTGGCTGCGGAGGCGGCATCGTATCAGCCGCTTCGCGGTCCTGACGCGGTTATAGGTATTGCATCAGCCGAATCGCGGCTCTTAATGTCTAGCTCACCATCAGCAGTCTGGCTCTCACGTTATAGCTCAACAGTTACATCCCGATCCCGACTCTTACTCTACATAACGGCTTAAGCCCGACTTTCGCTGTACTCAGCTGTACCAGCCGTGTCATTGCTCAGTGTAACAGCCGCAGCCTAACCCCACCCAACAGAACAGCCGGTGCTGCAAGCTGGCTCAGTCTAACAGCTGAATAGCCCGACAATTATCTGAACTTATTTTGACCGGTCGTTGACTGTCGAATGTAAGATATTGACCTCACAATATATTCCACTTCCGCTGTTCATCACAGGCTGGCTATTGAACAATGAACATTGCCTTTTTTGGCCTTTTAGAAGCAGCTGACGCGCTGACGTATGAGCTACACAGATGCTATGTGGTGTGTGGCTGCAGTCAGTCCAGATGTGTTGAGTCACAGGCGGCTGCTCATTTGGTCCCCATTCTAACAGCTGGCTATGGGGAGACATGTGTGATTGACGGTACATTGTGCTGTATGGTTTGTATGCTACGCCAGCTCGTACCTATGTTAAAAGTTCATCTGGAACGTAATTCCAAGGTTTTGAGAAAAAAAACATTTTGCGAAACCCTAAGATATTTTTTTCTCAATACTATGATCATCCAAAAACCATGTGATGTAAAAGACATTTCGATCGTTGCTTTCATGTATCTCATGTGTTTACTAAATACTCTCCAAAAGAATGTAGATTGGCGTCTTTCAAGCTATAATTCGGCCCCCTAAGTTGTTTGTTAGGATACTGATAGTGCTGGTAAATGGTAACTTATACCATATCGCATGATGCCCTACAAGTGAAGTGATGCGATAGCACCAGGGACGTCCGCACTCATGATAGTGCAACACTCGTATTGTGTCATTCTTACGATTGACTCCGCTCTCTGTTTTCTCTAACGGCCTCTGTTCCCAGCCGTCTTGTGCCCGCCGCCCTGCGGCCTTTGTTCCCACTCGATCGATCGCGCTCACCGGGTCCTCAGAACACACTCTCTCACAGACAGCTTTGACAGCGTGACACACAAACAGGCCACCTTCCGATGGACGCGCGGCCGCGGTTCGGCGCGGTCCCGTGGCGTGGTGGTGGGAGGACCCAACTCGGTCTCAGTCACCCTAGCTGCCACAGCAACTGGGCGGTAACCGGCGACCTGCCAAATATGTGGCTGTTGACCAGTGACCATGGCGTGGTGGTCTTTTTGTCTTTTTTTTTCTGGCGCGTATGACAAAAACGAGAAATTGGTGTTGGTGATTTCAAGGTGCTAGGTACTTAATGCTTAGGAGGTAATTAGGAGTGATATGTTTTTTGAGCGTTTATAAATGATAACTGCTGTTGTAGTTTAAACAATCATTGAAAACATGTTCACCAGCTGCGTTGCGTGACTTTTTCCATTCGATGATATTTGCTAGAGAAACACATCTGAGTAAAGGGTATCTAGAGCCGCTCGTTGTGTGCATATTTCGTAGTCAAAACGCCGTAACAAAACGTGATGTTTATGCATTTTATATCAATATGAAGCAACACAACACCCAACTCTCCAAACTGCTCACCTAGCTCACAGACAAATTATTGCTCGCTGATGTTAAGTGACAAGGCTTGTAGATCTATGATCGCAGCTGATCGCCGATAACAGAAATCGCTCACTGAACAAGTTCGAACATTCTGACATGGATAAAACAGCTTGCATTCTAGCATTTCCGCCCTGTTGTTTTCTACAGTAGCGCTCGCAATGTAAGGGAAATAACGAAGCTTCCTTCTCTCGTAAATTGTAAGAGATAATGGCAGACATATGTTCTGCCAGAACACTATGCCACATGCCATCACACTTAAGTAAAAACACACTCACGACGCTCAACAGAAGACCCATCCCATTTGTTCATGGCAGAGTAAAACTGGTTTTGGTTAATACTGAGCCCCTACTGGTCACCCACACCGACAGATATGTTAGGTGGCTCACGGCCTTCGGTTACGTCCGTACTGGCTAAAACACTTCAGAGACGACTCGACAGAGACTTCTGTTCCACCGGCAACATTCGGGCCGATAACAGAAGTGCTCGAGTTCCCCCCCCCCCCCCTCTGGCCTCCAATGCCCCCGCTTCCCTCGTGGCTATCTTCCTCCCGTAGCGTCTCTTGCCGCCGCCGACCGCCGCCTGCCGCCTCCGTCGTCCCCTCCGGCCACCAAACCTTTCTCTCGCCACCGAACTTTACACGTAGCGACGCCGGTGGCGACGCTGGACAGACAGCTATAGAGAGCCTCTTTCTGCTGTGACCTGCCGTCATCGTTGAGTTTCTTCCTCACGTTGCGTCGGTGACTGGCGTGAGTGGCGTCGGCTGGTCGTCGTCAGGCTCCTGAAGGAACGAAGTCACCAGTAACATGATGCCGAAGCCGGCCAGGATAGCCAGCAGCTTCAGCAGTCCGCCGCCCGGCTTGGCTCGCTCTCCCTGGATGATCTCGAAGAATACCACGTAGAGGATAGTTCCGGCGGCCAGCGATTGAAGTATGTCTGTGGCAAAAGCCTGTGTGTCCACGTCATCGCCTTCGCTCGAGATGACGAGAATGCCGATCAGAATACCGATAGGTGCCGCCGCCACGAATATGGTCAGAGAGACGATTGCGGAGCGGAGACGACGCTGGGTGGCCGCCAGCTGCTCGCCCAAGCAGAAGGCGATGATGGCCTTGTGGGTGGCGATGGCGGCCGTCAGCAGCCACACGCTGGGCTCGGAGGGCTCCAGGCCGATGGCCACGCCCTCGAACACAGAGTGCACCGACAGCGCGGCCGTCACGATCAGGACGCGGAACGAGGCCAGCCCGGTCGGACCGCCGCCCGCCGCCGCGACCAGGCTGTGGCTGTGACCGTGCCCTCCGTTCGCCTCTGCGCTGCTCGAGGACGGCACGGTACCGTACCCCGCCCTGGCCGCCGCGCCGGCCGCCTCAGCTGCCTTGTCGGTACCCCGCCGCGGCTGTAGTATCGGCGACCTGTCCCCGTCCCCGTCCTCATCTCTCTGAGGCGACAGCAGCATCGCCACCTCCTCCACGGCGTAGATGGAGAACATGCCAGCGCAGAGAAGCACCTCGGCTAGCGGGAAGTCGCCGCCGCGCCCGCCGGCCTCCAGACTCTCTCGAATCTCAGGCAGCATGTGCGTTAGTACCGTGGCCAACAGGACGCCGCCGCCCAGACACTGTAGGCAGGAGATGGCCAGCCGGGCGGCACGGCTGCGCCCGGTACCCTGTCGCAGCCACGGCCGCAGCGGGAACGGCAGCAGACCCAACAGAAGCGAGGTGGAGAACAGTATGGCCAGCGCGCCCAGCTTGGCTGCTAGGACAGTCATGGTCGGCTGTCGGCTGCCGCCGGAACGGTCGGCTGCTCAGGTCACCTTTGTGGGTCACTGGCCGCTGGTGCTGGGAGCTGGATGGGCTGAATCTGGACGGCTGAGCGAGCTGTGCTGAGCGGAGACGATCTATGAAGAGCTGAGATGAGTTTTGATGAGCGATATGGTTCGTGGTTTCTTGATAACCGCCGGCCGTCTTGAATAAACACCGAGTCTGGAACCACGGGTGACACTCCGCTGTGCCGTGTGCACTCGCTCGCACTGCGCTCGACTGTGCCGTGTGCACCCGCTGGAGCCGCTGTCCGCCTCCGCGCCCGCCCGGCCAGAGGCGCGTCCAGGCTCGGCCGGCGGGCGGGCGGCCGTGCAGTGGCGCAGTCAGCGCCATCCTGCGGGGAGGAGTGGAGAAAAACAAACATGTGAAATCGGGCGTTTCAGTTTCGCCGATTTAATACTCACGGCTTGTTATTTCTGTCTGCCGTATCAACCTCCTGCAAAATCTTCCCTGTATCCGCCTTAGTCACTCGTAGTCCTCGTGGTCGCGATAACATCGGACCGGGGAGTCGCCGGGTAGGCAAGATAGGCAGCGGCGCGGCGGCGAGACGCGGCACCGATCCGTCAGCCGCCCGGCCGGAGTTTGGGCGGTCATTGGCGGTTTTTGTTGGTCTGCCGAGCTCAGAGTGCGTTCCACCCGGCGCGTGGCACTCAGTACGCGTTGGGACTGTGTGGATCTGCTGCTGTTTGAGGGTAACCAGAGAGGTTATTGTCCGTAAGTCATCTGATGACGGGTCGCCGGGTCGGCACACCGCCCGTTCTAAAGTCCGCCAGACGGGGGAGCGGCCAGCCGTGCCCAATGTTTGCGTTTGAGAACAACAGGTGACGTCACTGGACTCTGAGACCACTGCCGTATGCTGTGACCTGAGCTGCGTTGTGCACAGTGTCAATTCCGTTATCGACACAAATAAGACTGTCCATGACGCGTGTTGTTGCCTGAACCTATCGTGTCATGTGACGAGAGCTCAATCATTTAGGTACACCGAATTTCCACACCATTTTCATCTAACAGTATTTCCATAATTCGGAGCCGTTCCGGCGGCGATAATACATAGTGCCGCCGCCCCGACCGTCTCTGAGGCAGCGTACCGCCAATGTTTGGTGGGGTCGGGTTGTGCCGGTTGACCTTGAGCGGACAGCGACCGACGGCCGGGACATGGAGACGGGTCGGGGAGGGGGAGGGGTCGTTGAGGACTGCCAGGGTCCTCAGTGACGTCTGTGATAACTATGGGGTGGTTAACCCCTTGCTCGAACCGCTTATTGAAGGGTTAAGTCGCGTAAGCAGAGAGGGTCTCAGGAAAATTTGGTTCGCAAACCTCAGAGAGACGAGATCTGAATATCGTACCTATTAGTTACTTTTTATACTCTTCTTTGTTTTGGTTCAAGGTCCTAAGAAAAAGGCTCTTGTTATGCCCAAACGGAAGACTTCATGCTATTGGAAAGGAGCATCGTCAGGTTCTATCGCATGACTTTGTGTCCGGTGCAAACAGGTCGTTTTGCAGCCGGTACCAAGCTGCATAATATGGTCTTACTTACGTAAAGAGACTGTCAGTATGCCAAAGGACCTCGAGGCTCGAAGTTCGAACTATGGGCGTATATGGCGTGACTCGCTGTAACAACTGATGACTGCAATAAGGAAAGTGAGGGGGGCTAAATTTAACTCAGCCAATACGCTTCAAGCTAATGAATAGCTTTCATTTTGATGTAACACTTACCTGTTTGCAGTATAAGTTTTGTATTCGTTGTCGATAACTCGCCTCTCATCCTCACATACCTATGCATGTTATGTGGTGTCACTTCACGGCTCACGCACCTTGTTTATTTTTGCGTTAAGCGCAATGAATTTTTTGTCAATAACTCGCCTCTCACCCTCACATACCTATAATATCTTAAGTTCTGTGGCCTCACTCACTTCGTTTATTTTTGCATTGACCGCAACGCTTTTACCGAAACCCGTTAGGATAGCCCGTTACTACCATCCTGTCCGCATTGCTACGTCGACTCCCGTCTCAGGACTCCCGCTCCAATGTCTTTCCATCCAACATTCGCTTCTCCACCCCTACCCCCGCCATGTGCCGTCACTAACCCTTCGTACCCTCCCCGTGTTGCTGGGGTCCTGTCCCCGTCTCCGTGGCTTTACGTAATGAACCGGTCCGGTGGCCTGCAAGCTTCTTACGTAATGTGATGGCTGATGGTGCCACCGGCAGCAGTCTGATGCTCATGCTCGGCATTCAGGTGCCTACGGCGGGTAACTCGCAGTTCTGCAACCATTACTCGCGCCCAACGCTCAGTCTTGCTGCCGCTGAAACTGTTATTGGTTCTGTTTAGTGTTTGCGTTCCCAAGATAGGCTATTTTGGGGTTGATTTTTTTTTTTGTTGTCTCTCTGGATAGAGTTTGTGTTTTAACATATTATCGAGACTGGTTGGCGGCATTTTCGTTTTGTCTTATTTCCACTCGGTTGCACTGTGCTATTGACCGTCCGAGCGCTTTCTTTGGGTTTTATTCGAGCCGCTGCTTCGATGTGTCCCGAAGGGCAGTTAGACAGATCCCCAAAAATAAATCAAACTATTGACGAGCAAAGGTGGGTCTGCTTGCTAGCCCTCCACACGCTGTCGATATTTGAAACACTTTCGTGCCTGCTACGCCTTGGAATGTCTGGCAGGTTTTACTGTTCTCGCTTCTTCATTTGATTGTTGTGAAGGTGTGTAAAAACCTATGCACTGCGTCTGTATCTGTGTGCATCTGATGAATATCGTGCATTGTCAATCTTCGAGTATGCATGTATCTCTCCCCGACTCCGATGGCTTGTCATCTATGCCGGCCCCGCGCCTCTGACCGTCTCCCTCGCCGTGTCTCTGCCGGCAGACTGCTCATCTGCGCCACATGGCCACCGGCCTGTGTCTGAACAGCTCCGGGGTGGAGGCCATGCACCTTCTCTACCTGGCCACCTGTACGGCCGACGTCGGACAGCGGTTCACCTTTGAGAACGGACAGCTGTAGACGAGCGGTGTGCCGCCGGACGGACCAGTAGCTACAGAGGTGGGAACGACATGGATGGAGGTAGTCCGTGGTCTGTCCGTGAGACGTGTGGTCTTTGGTCCTTGTGGGTCCTTGTGGTCAGAGGTCCGCGTAGATCCCAGGTCCATGGGTTCCTTTCTCCATGGTCCTTGGACCAAGCGGTTAATTACCAGGGTACTCCCGGGTCTGTTTGGTCCAGGTCCATGTTGTCCTTGGCTCATGCGATCGTTGATCCGTGTGGTCTAGCTAGATCCATGCGACCAGCGGCTAACGTGGCCCATGGTTCTCGTGAGTCCTTGGGCCCAATGCCCCCACCCGTTGATGAATGTGGACCGCAGTGCCTTCCCCGCTCCTACGGAGTATTCAGCTCCCATGGGATGCACTCTAAATCAAAACGCAACCAGTCAAACGGTGGCATATCTTTAGGGAGCTGTGCCGATGAGTAGATGCGGATTTTACTAGCTTGATAACGCTCATTCCAGCGCATTTATTTATTTATATCGGTTCCAAATGGCAATACTTCAGACTGCTACGCCTTGAGAAGAGTTGTTGTTTCGTTTTACTCAGTTGGCAGTCAAATACGGTACAGAAGGCCGTCTTTTGTATCTGTGCGCACTATATATTGTATTTACATTTAAGAGCGATCCACATACAAAGTGCGTGGCGATTACTGCTCATATAGGAAGAAGAATATTTGGTTTCGTCAAGTTGTTGACGACTTTGTTCCTTACGCTTGCGAAACAGCTTCTGGGTAAGCGATGTGACCTTTAATCTCATTGGCAAAGATCTGAAGCTTTCTTTTTTCGCACACTGCAAATAAGTCACAAAAATGTGGGCTTGTACTTTGTTCATACGAGATTCCCTTTTGTTACAAGCTTTATTTATCAGCAGTGGTATATCTAGGCTTTGTTTGAGATGGGTACAATGAGTCACCGCTCAATCAGAAAACATGCTCGATGTTTTCTTACCAAACGCAAGTGCCTTACCTTGGCGTGTTACCGAATTCCTATTCCTGAAAGGGACGCAATATGTGAGTCATATCACAGATCAGCAAGCCTTGCTTTGAGTGTTTAACAGGCCCACAGTTTGCATTTAGAAACACTATGGCTAGTTCTAAACAAGTGTGAGTGTGAAGTGTCCTTGTTGTGCCCTTGCCGTCTAGCTCACTTTCTGGGATCAAGAGCTGCCGTTTCCAATGGCTGCTGCCGTTTCCAATGGCTGTGTTGGAGCAGATATCCTGGGAATTGATATCGCATTTCCATGATGAAAAACACGCTGTGCGCCGCATCTATCCACCGTCAAACGGTCAGATGTAAGATCAGATCGCGCACACTAGACTGTGTTGTGGTGTTTGTTTTCCTCAATGGGTGCTGTGCTATCTGTTTGTGGTGGGGGTGCTGAATTAATAACTCACTTTTTACTGCCCAAGCAAATAATTTGCATTTGAACGGACAGAAACCACAGTAAATCAATATTCATACGGATAGCTTCTACTGGCGTCGTTGTTGTGGTTTGCGATTATCTTCATGTGTGTGCGTTTGTATTTTCCTGGCGTAGTGCCCAGTTTGGATGTGATATATTCAAGCTGCGACCTCCACTGCCTCTGCTGAGGGCCGTGGTGCCTTGGCGTTATCCCCTGCCGCGATATATCTGTGTTAGTAAATTATTATTTATTGCTAGACGCATTTGTGTGAGACTATGCGTGCCCAAACAGGGTTTTCGGCGGATTCGCCGGGCGGCTAGCCAGCCGTGATCATACTTTGGGAGAGTGTGGGTCGTTTTGGTGAGGACCAGGGCAAAAAGAATTTTGTCCTGGCTTAAGGTGGTAGATGGTACCTTTTTTGTTACTTTGTGGTCTACTGTGATTGCATTTGGATTTGTTTTGTAACTATCATGTCAATAAACGCGCATCAGCGTACTTTTTCGTTTTAATTTACTACCTCTATTTTTGATGTGAGTACACGCATGGAAGGTGTGCATGTCGCGCTTACGATGGTGTCGGACGACCGACAGTTTACACGTCTGCCTTCCGCCAACTGATCGTGCGACCAGTACCTAGATATGATGGCCCGATACGGGCAACTCAGGGTTATGAGTGATTCCCAGCTTGCCCACGCTTGGTCTCAGTTAGTACAGATAAATCCTTACTCAATCGACTTTTCTGACAGTTTAGATACAAGGTTTGGTGATATCCATTTCCCACCGAGCAATTACCACAGCGACTGTCACTCGAGACCCGTGTATGACCGCCCGCAGTGACTGTATGACACTTAAATGCCAACTGACCCGCGAGTCGCGGTAATGACCAATTTCAGGGCTCAAGGGGTCTTTTGAAGCATTTGTCACTTGGAATTGGTCCTTGAACGCTTGAGGTATGATTTAACACACATTCTGAGATGGCTGTCGCTGAGGCTGGGGCTTTTAGCGGGATGGTGAAACTGAAGTGTCTTGATGATCCCCAGCCTATGTTGGGTGGGCCCTGGAGAACTAGAGCTTGCAGGTCTGTGGAGTAGATGGCGCTTCTGTGTGACAGTTGAGATTCGTCTCAGCGCTGTCGAGGGCGAGAATCGACGTGGGATAAAATGGGATGGGATGGGATTATTGACAAATGCCACTTAGCTATCGTTCTTATGGGCACGGCTGGGAATTGTCCCTGTTACTTAAGGCCTTGTTGCACCGAAAGGACCCATGGGAGCATCATGATATGGAAATGCCGTCCTGACTTCTAATCTGTATAGGCATGTAGGCTCCGAATAACTCGAGAGGGCCATTGGCCGAGGCCGTTAGCCCGTTACGATGCTAATTGCTAGCTTATTCTAACTGAAGATATGTACCTATCTAAGCTTGTTTGGAAGTCAAACTTCGCAATATCCGTTAGAAAAAGAAACGCCAGGGGCAGTGCCAGATGGGAAAAATGCGTTTGGTCATATTCAGTAAGCGTCGTCTATTCCTTGCTATTGAAGCTTGAATCTGCTAGTCATTTGCCCACCGATCCAATAACTATAAGGTCCAATAAGGTGACTTGACATTTGAAGTAAATTATGTCGGTATGTCTACTGGAAATGTGCTGGCGGTTCACCTATTCTTGTTACATTTGACATGTGCCTCTGGCTAGAATCTCGACGTTTTTGCATTTTTGCCACTCGTTTGGATTTGAGAGCTTGGTGTAGTGCATTTTGCCATGGTTTTGATTTCGTTGAAAGAATGTCATTTCAGTGTAGGAGTGCGAATCATTCGACCAGAAGCTTCATCGAAATTACATGTTTTCATGCTCCGAAGTTTGCATTCTTGCTCTGCTGCTTCCTTTTACAGTCGCGCTCTTTTCTCCTACAGACTGGAAACCCCTTCCGAGTGTCCCAATATCCTTGTCATGAGGCTCTCTGGTCGGACCATTTCGCTCGAGTCAGCGCGACCGGGGTCAAGAGGTCATGACCCTCTCGGTTCGCTCGTAACCGGGCGGCTTATTGATCAGCTCGGAGACAGAGAGGAATGGGAGACGGTCACGCTGGAATGTGCACCTCCTGTGGAGACTGAACTTCCTGGGAAAGGTCGGAGCACGGTTAAATTGGTGGACTTGGTGGCATGGGCTGGCCCAGGCTTCGGCAAGTGCTGTGGATGTGTTGAACCGGAAGGGTCCTCAGGATATTGGTTAGGTTTGATGCTTAGATTCGGAAGTCACCCTGTTTGCGTTAACCGAAATTCCATCGTGTTAGGTCAATTGAGAAGGTCACTTGGGCAGCCGCATTACTCTGGGGTCGGACTAATAAACGGGACGAGTTGTCTGTCAGTGGGTCAGCTCAAGATTACTGGCCGGCTGTTGGAAGTCTGTTACCGACTGTCGAACTCAGACCGGATCTAGGGGGGACGGGGGGGGGGGGGGGGCGCCGTCACAACATGGTACTGCTCTGTCGAGTTTTGGGAATATGTCTGAGCGGAACCAGTCTCGATTCCATGTCTGAGGACTGTGGGGTCAAGGTCAGTATTCAAAAGAAACGGTGTAAAAGTAATGTCCAGGGTTACCACATCTTGGCGACTGACATGGAACGCACTAAGGGCAATTCTGTCGTCTAGGTATGACACCGCCCTCGGGGCTCGGAGTTATTACATTACTGTGCCCACCAGCTTCCATAGGCACTTTTTCAGATAATTTGCAATTTCAGTGCGGAATGGCGCTGAGCGCTCTGGTATATTTTTTATCAAAACTGAGTTTGCAAATTTTGAAGGAACTCTTTGACAGAAGCTCAAAACGAGAAGTGGCTGCCGGCTGGAAACTTCAAGAATTTTTAAGTTCCCTAATCACCTGACCTCTTGCAGCATAAACTGGATGTTTGTATGCTTGGTTACGGTAAAAAGGGGCAGCCTAGCGAGAGGATATAACGAGCACTCGCATTTGCAGTCTTATCCTCTTTTAGGTTATTCCCAAGTAGTTGGAGGGTACTTATTTTTATCCTGAGCATCGGTCATATGTGTGTGCCGTGTCGTGCCAGCAAATCAGCAGCCAGCAGAAACCAGACTCTGTAACCAGGAGGCAATCAGTCCTGGAAGCCGAAGGTCAACCAGTCTGAGTAGCCAGGAGACAAGCAGTCTCGTTTACCACTGGTAGCCAGTCTCACTGACCAGCACGTACTGGCTATCATTACCGCTCTCCCAGTGCCAGCAGCCATTACCTACCAATATCTAAGCTCGGCAACCCTTTCAGTGCCAGTACACCACTACCTGGTACAGAGCTCTCTCCCTTTTCTCTCCCCGGGGAGCGGCCCAGATGAGGGGTCGATGGGCGGCGTCAAGACGCGTTGAAAGGCGCCCGTTTCCGGCGCCGGCAGCGGCGTGCCATTGATTCGGCGATCAATGGCGGCCGCCGGGGAGCCGACCGACAAATCATCGGCCGCCCGCCGCCGGTTAGCGCCGCCGCGGCCACGGTGGGAGCTGGGAAGGCTGTCAGGGGGACTGGGATGGCCAGTTGGCGTCGCGCGCACACCTGTACACCGAGAGCAGGGTGGGAGGGGCGCCCCGGTGAGCGAGCGCGTCTCTGACGGCTCCTACACGGCCGGCTGTCAGTGATGGAGTGGTAGGAACGTCCCTGAAGCTGCACGCCACTGTGCTGTGTCGTGTACGGCTCGACAGCAGTGTCATATGCATGCATACCACATTAGATATCATGTTGAAATGTGTTCGTCTGATGCCTTTGGCATAGCAGTCAGGTAGTGACACGGCATAAGGCTGCGGGTGTTTGACTCTGTTTTCCACCCACCCACCATGCCATGATATGGACCTGTATGGACGCCGGGATGTCATTTATGCCTTAACAGGTCGGCCGAGCCATTTCCTCGAACGTTCAGAGTTGCTTCCTGTGGGACGTCGAGCAAGTTTGGCCAGTCTCAAAGTACAGTTAATTATGTCAAAGTCTGAGTTGTCTTCGGCAAAGTCGGCGGCGAAGGGACAGGTAATCCTGGCTGAGCACGCCGCGTCTGGTGCGCCAGATATCTCAAAGTCCTGGTTTTCGTCGCGGTCTCTGCTTCTTGACCTTCAGCGGTGGTCTGTTCTCGCCCTCCGTGAGATGCCGTGGACACAGCGAGCTCTCCACGTATAGTGGTTTCAGACGTGACCCGAGTTAGACGGGCCCGGCGCCGGTGACTGAGATCGGGGTCAGGAGTCGGCGGTGAGCGGGGTTCGGTGGTGGCCAGTGGCACTCTGACGACGCCCGCTGCACTGCGCTGGAAATCAGGAAGTCCCGGCGGGTCAGCTAGCTGTTATTGGTCATCATGGTGAAATGTGTCGAAATGCTTCCGTTAAAGGGACTATCCCACCTTCTAAAATGTTGTTAAAACCAGTTAAATTGTGCCCGACTTTATAGATTGGATGACCAGGAACACGGTTCTGGCATTTATTTTTCATTAAACATCTTAGGCTTCCCATATTCCACACACAAACTTTCAAATATGTGACGTCACAGCCCAAAATTACCTCCTTCCCCAGGCCACATTACTGTCATAAAGCTGATTCTTTTTACTCTGTAGGCACCACAACAAAGTTCAGACCAAGTTTTAAGCGATTTTTCAACGAACAAATCCATTTAAATCAGAATGACTAAACGAGGTGACGTCACACTAACGGTCGCTCCATGTTGAAGATAGAGCCTTGTACAAGGCCCATTTTCAAATGAAGGGAACGAATTTCTTCAACACCAAGAGGCCGCGGGGGTTGCAACCTAGATAGATAGTGGTTTCTGAACCTCGCCGCAAACTTGGCTATCTCAACTCACCCCATGTTAAAGGTGGGATAGTCCCTTTAAACGTTGTTTTATGTAGGCATTTACAGGGTGTCCACGTCAAAAGTGTACCCAGACTTTTCTCCATATTTTATCTTAAAAACATCACACTCACAAACAATTGCCCTCGTTTGAGAGCCAAGGCAATGGCAAAACATTTGCTATGCTTTTCAACTGTGCTCGGCACACTGCTGACCAGCGCGTGCCGTCTAGAGCAACTGCTCTATATGAGCCCCTTTGCGTCGGGCCACCGCCGGCAGACTAGGTGGGTGGTGGCCTGGTCAACCATGTGGGAAGGAAGGCGACGGATCTCGTCGCTGATGGCGTCTTTCAGCTCCTGGGTCGACCCTGGATTGCCGGCGTACACACAGTCCTTGAGAAAGCCCCGCAAGAAGAAGTCTATAGAGGGCTGAGGTCGGGCGAGTGGGGAGCCCATTCCACCGTGCTTGTGGCGGTCAGGAAAGTGCTCCTCCAGGAATTCCAGCGACCGTTTGGCGGTGTGAGGCGGCGCCCCGTCCTGTTGAATTCATTCTTGATGGCGACAGATCCCGCGTCTCCGCTTCAGCTCTCGCCAGAATGGTTCCAGTGCCACCGAGACGTAACGTTCTAGCGTTACGGTGTTGTGTTTGTCGCTCCCCTGTCGTCTTCGA